AGCAAGGCTCAGTGTCACAGAGGAGATGAACAAATGTTCAAGCAGTTCCAACACAGCCTGCCCAAGCTGAGAGATGCTGCAGGCACTAACAAGACACCTAACTTGATGTTGAAGTAGGAGTGACCTCTGTCAGGAAAGGCTTCTTAGAGGTGATACTTAATCTGAGGAATGAAGATGAACAAGAGCCCTGAGTCAGTTGGGGCGGGAGAATTTCCGTGTAAATGGACCACCACATGCAAAGAGCTGAGAAAGAGAGCAAGCTAGGTTAGCTGGGTTCTGGAATTTGGAGCCTTGTGTTGGTAGGCAGATGTGAAGTTTTGATGGGCCTGTCAGGCCATGCAAGGAGTTTGGCATTCATTTAGATTCTAGAAGACTCTAGAAGGCAACATGGAGCTTTTGAAAGATTTTAAGCTGGGGAATATATATTTTTTTTTTAAGATTTTTTTTATTATTTATTTGACAGAGAGAGACACAGCGAGAGAGGGAACACAAGCAGGGGGAGTGGGAGAGGGAGAAGCAGGCTCCCCGCTGAGCAGGGAGCCATGTGGGACTCGATCCCAGGACTGTGGGATCATGACCTGAGCTGAAGGCAGACGCTCAATGACTGAGCCACCCAGGCGCCCCAAGCTGGGGAGTATCTTGTTCACATTTGTGTTTCCAAAAAATAACCTTGGCAGGGCAAAGCTGGGGGCAGGGAACCTCTTAGGAAGGGATTGTGGTGGTTCTGGGAAAGGTGGTTCTGGGAAAGGCAGCCAATAGGCTGCCTGAGGCACAGCAAGGAGGGAAGACTGAAGCAGGAGGATCTGTTACACTTCTGCTCCCACACCCGGCCCAGTCATCTACTTGCTAGTAGATCACCAGCTTCCTTCTATAGCATCCTAAGACCACGTCCTTGTCCTGACAGCCTAACCAAAAATGGCCCTCCCTCACCCAAGTCATTGATACTTCCTCTGAGAGCCAAGAGTCCTTCACTCATTGGAAACAAACTTGTCCCCAAGACAGTGACCAAACCAGGATCTCCCTCACCCGCGGGGCTTTGAAACGATTGTCCTCATCAGTCTATCAACAAGACTCCTTTCTCCCATCTTTCTCCAACGTCCAAGAAGTGAAAGGATCAATCCATTATAAGGGCTCAGCATTAAAGCAGCAGTAGGAGCCCGTGACCCCACATAATGCTGTGGGGCTGCTACTGGCTATATTCCCAAACTTTGGAGAATAGTTTGAGCGTAAGTGGGCCTTTTAGTTCTCAGCAGGCCTGGCTTCTGGAAACAAGGGTAGGGATGGGGAATCCTAGCCACTATGGGCCCATGCTGCTGTGCTGGAGGTCTGGGCCGGGAACCTGTGTAAGGAGTGTCCCAGTGGGCCCTCATGTGTTCAGGGCTAGAGGATGCATCCTTCTCAAAAACATCTTTGTCTCCCAGCACCTAACATAGGCATATGGTAGCTGCTTCTTAAAGATCTACAGTTAGGACTATTAGAGAATCACAGACTTACAGCTGCTTATTGGCACCACCTATAGTGGGACTATGTTTCAGGAAAAGGGGGTTTGTGTATCAGAAAGTCTGTATTATTAGGGAAATATATCTTTAGCTGTCAGCTTCCAAAATCCCTTACAAATCCTTTGGAAACTTTGATGGTGGTAGTAGTGGTAGTGGGGTTAGCTGGTTAGCTTCCGGGCTGGGGGGCAGATGTGAAGCTGTGATGGAGACTGTGGAAGATGGGCAAAATCGCCCCAAAGCTTTCACCCATAGAAGGCTGTACTCACGCAGGCCTCTCCCTGCCCCTTGTAACCGGCCACCCAGGTGACTTTCCTAGGCATTTGTTATAGTCAACATCCGTTTTTACCCAAAAAAAACTATTTTTGGACATGAGTTTCCTAACCTGACACCATCTTATTTTCTGATTTTCCAATAAAGCATGGAAAGCATCAAGGTGCCCCGAATGGTCTCACCCTTCCCCTGCTCCACAAAACCCCCTCTGGGTCATTTCAGCTATCATTCATCCCTCCTGCCCTGCACTTGAATTCACTCTAGACATCATCATTTACTACCTACATAGTATTTGGCATATGGAGTTTTAGAAATTAAGCTCTGCACCCAACATAGGGCTTGAACTCACGACCCCAAGATCAAGAGTCACATGCTCTACAGGCTGAGCCAGTCAGGGGCCCCTGGCATAATGTTTAGCTTTGGTTTTGTTTTCCTAAGTAGACTGTGAAGTCTTTTAAGGTAAATCTTGAGGCTTGTTTCCCATAGCACTTATTAGCACTGATCCCTGAACAGCTAATCAATGATTATTGATTGGCAGTGGTATTCAATCTACCAAGGTAGGCGGAGGAGGCTGGCCAGCAGAAGAGCCGCCTCCATTGGCTTTTTATCCACGAGCTATGACTCTACCTTGTATATTCCTTGGGTTTTCCCAGAGTCCTTGGGTGATCTTGGAGAATACGTCCTGGAACTAATTTTAAGTCACGAGGGAAGGGGTTGGCAAGGACCCCTAGCCAAAAAAGTGACATTTAAGGGCCAGAAAATCAGCAAGGCTATACAGGAAACCCATCTGCTTGCTCACTGGCTTTGGTGGGAAACAGAAAGGCCGGGAGCTACTGACGTTTCACAGTGGAATCCAGGTTAAACAATCACAAGGCGTGTGAACACGGGCAAACCACTTGACATCACTTGAGCCAGCAGAAAAATTGGATAAAAAGCAATCTTTAGCAAGGCAGCCAAGGCCGCACTGACACAGCTTCCCCAAACACCACCTCTTTCTGCCAAAGCAAGCTTCTACTTATTGGTGGCTCAGAATACAAAGCTCATCTCTCAAAACTAAATGTAAGTGCTCATTTGGAGTTACTGTTGGCTGCCACCTTGTGGTCTAAACTACAACTGCCTATCAAGACTGAAATAGGTGGCTACTAGCACAAAACCACCTGTTTCCAACTTAACGCTACGAAGCTCACTTGGCTAACTGTCCATCTCTGCACAATGCTTGGCCTGTAGTATCCCATAAATAGGACTCTCAAGTCCCCCCACTCCCTTAAGATCCACCATTAGTTACCAGTTTTGCCGACCAAAAGAACTTACTTTGGTGTATATGTCCTGAGTTGTTAGCTGGCCTGGAGCCGCTGCCTCAAAAGCTTTGACCCCATCCTATTTCCTGTGACCATCACATCATGGTTTGATCTGCAAGCCAAAGCCGGTATCTGACCCAGCAAAACTGTCTGCAGGATTATGCCCCTGAACTTATCACTGGCTGCACCTTCATGGCCCCAACAAAGCCCCCTGGTACCTTTACCAAGATGGCACTTGGCCCCACTGGGTAACGTCACTGCTCTTATCCATTTACTCCCGTCACATGTAGGGAAGGCCACCACTTATAAAGGTTCCAGGAAAACTCCAATGTTTCCTCCTTTTAAAGGAGCCCTGGGCTGGGGTGCCTGGGTGGTTCAGATGGTTAAGCATCTGCCTTTGGCTCAGGTCATGATCCTCAGATCAAGCCCCACATCTGGCTCCCAGCTCAGCGGGGAGTCTGCTGCTCCCTCTCCCCCTACTTGTGCGCTCTCTCTCAAATGAATAAATAAAATCTTTAAGAAAAAATAAAAAGTAGCCCTTGGATGCCAAGAGCTCCAACCAACCAGCTATTATGTAAAAACAAAAGACTCCCATGGCTTCCTATGGCTGGCAGTCCTTTTCAGAGGTATTTGTGCGATCTTGATTCTGTTTTCTCCTAAGCCTTGAACGTTGGGACTACTTAATTCCAGGGTCAACAAAGCAGCAACCTTCCCATGCCGCAGAGCTGCATCAGCATGGCCCACCTAGTGAACACCCCGCTCTCCAACTACCCCGCAGAACACTAACCACACTGGACGGGACTCTGCGGGGCAGCATGTGCTGAACACAGGGCCTGCGCCAGAGCCAAGTACTGCGGCCCTAACAGCCACATGTGATACCACCCTGCATGAGGACAACTCCTTCACCAAATCCAGTCTTGCCCTGTTTACAGTCTGATCCTTCTATCATTCCTGTTCAGGCCACATAATGCAAACCAAACAGGACACACAAGATTAATTTTTTTCTGGCTACAAATTTATTCAACACAAAACATCTCCAACTTTACTGAGGTGGCTGACCACGTCCACGACCAAATCCGCCTCTCTGCAAGAGAAAACAGACATCATCATCATTAGCAGCACGCCGGGCAGCGGGCCTCATTACAACAGGACAGGGCCCCCAAGGCTCAAGAGCTCAGGCCATAAATCCCAGCCCTGCCTCTTACTACGAGGACACATTCACCTTCCAGGCTGGTTTCCACATTGGAAAAATGGGAATATGGATACCCACTCAAGAGTGTGTTTACACACACACACGGGCGCACGTGCGCACTCCCAGCACAGGTCGAGAGCTTGTGCCGGCCACACACACCTCCTTTCCACAAACGAGGCCGCAGACAACACCTGTCTGCTGTGAAGACCTGCCACAGGACAGTTGTTGCTGCAACAGTGCTACGCCCGCCCCCATGCCAGGCACTTTACCTAGATTCATCTCACAAGTACCTGACATAGCTACTATCGTAACGTCTATTTTAAGGATGAGGAAAAGGAGGCACGGAGGGTATGTGCCCAATATCACACCATCTGAAGATGAAGGACCGGACTCCAGCCCATCTTGGTTCTAGAGCTTAATCTCTGGTTTGTAGTTCTTAACCCTAAGTCTTAGTTCATGAAATTAAGGGAGTCACAATTATGATGCTCATTAATGAAGAAACCACCACTATACACATGTAGTATTGATTTGGGGTACTCATTTCAGTTATTTACATAATTACAAAAGTTTGCATGCTGTATCTTAACGTAAAAACTCTTGGAATTCATTTTATTTTGGGGGGGGACTACTGCCAACAAGGGGTGGGACCCACCACACTGTATCGTATCCCTAGAATTTGCAGACCCCCAGGGCCATGGCCAGAACAGTGACTATCTATAGAGAGCCAACAGGGATACTCACAAACTGGAACTCAGTTGCTGACCCAGCCCCGGCCTCAGCTTTCTTGTCAGCACCAGCTGGAAGGAGAAACACCAATGCAGAGTCATCACATGTTATGATCTATTTCACACCAAAGGAAGACAAGTCTCCAGCCCAATTCTGCAGGAAAAGCCCTGTCACCAAACATACCCCATGAAGTACAAGTAAATTACACCCAGTGGTGGGAAATCCCCTATGAACACTTCTGCCCCCTCCCTCTCCTGGGGCAGCTTTCCTTAAGTCATCCTTCCAAACTCACAGCCCAAACTATCACCTCCTCCAGGAAGGCTGCCCAGACCACAAAGCCTGGATTACGTGCCCCACTCTATGGCCCAAGAAGACCCTCATTCCCATCGAGCTATTTACATGCTTCAGATCAGCATCTAGCTTACAGAGGAAGAGAAAAAGGACACAAAGGCCCACAGAAGCAAAAAGCAACCTTGTCATGATCACAGTAAACAAGTAAAATGAAAGGTCCAGTGCCGCCCTGACCTGTATGGCAGCCACTAGTCCAAACTGACGCGTGTGCAAAATACATGTAAGATGTCAAGATTTATGAGAATGCAAAACATCTCATTAATGTGTATAAAAATTACATGTTAGGGCGCCTGGGTGGCTCAGTCGTTAAGCGTCTGCCTTTGGCTCAGGTCATGATCCCAGGGTCCTGGGATCGAGTCCCACATCGGGCTCCCTGCTCAGCGGGAAGCCTCCTTCTCCCTCTCCCACTCCCCCGGCTTGTGTTCCTGCTCTCGCTGTCTCTGTCAAATAAATAAATAAAATCTTAAAAAAAAAAAAATTACATGTTAAAGTAACATTTTAAAAAATATATTGGATTTGGGGTGCCTGGCTGGCTCAGTTGGTAGAGTATGCAACTCTTGATCTTGGGGTTGTAGGCCTGAGCCCCATGTTGGGTGTAGATCACTTAAAAATAAAATCTTAAAAAATAATAATACAATAAACTCTACTGGATTTAAAAAATTACTGCTGTAAACTACTTCTACTTGCTTTAGGTGTGGCCAATAAGAAATGTTACGGTTCACGGGGTGGGGGGGAGCGGGTGGTGACAGCACCATCAGGGAGAGTAGCCTCGGTAAATCTTGTTCAATGGGGTCTCCCTTTGGCCCATTTCAGACCACACCCACTATTAGGCTCTTGTCCCCTCACTCCCCTGCCCCCCCAACAAGCCACCTACCCATGTCTCCAACTCCATACCTTCGTTCAGGCTGCTTTCACCTGCAATGCTCATCCCCCCTCAACTCGGGGACCCCTGGGGCTCAGGCCCAACCTCACATCCTCTGGAGAACGACTCCCTGACGATTCCCCATGTGGTGTGACTTCTAATAAAAGCAAACCAATAACTTTCTCTGAACCGAGAGCCTGTTGGTTGGAAAAATTCTTTCTTACAATCCAGTAACATACTCAGGTCAAGTGCTCGTTTCTATTTCACGTTTCAAGAATGAGGAACCATGGGCGCCTAGGTGGCTCAGATGGTTAAGCATCTGCCTTCGGCTCAGGTCATGATCCTAGAGTCCTGGGATCAAGTCCCGCATCGGGCTCCTTGCTCCTTGGGAGCCTGCTTCTCCCTCTGCCTCTCTCTCTCTCTGCCTCTCATGAATGA